AAAAGTTTCCTTTGACATATAAAAAGCCAGGTTGGTGTAATGGGAAGCTCATGTGGTATCTTTCGCAGATAAGAGAGAAAATGCTCTTTCTGGAGTGCCTGGGTGACTCAGTGGATTAAGTCTCTGCCTTTGGCTCAGATCATGATCTCAGGATTTTGGGATCCAGCCCCACATTGGGCTTTCTGCTCAGCAGGAAGCCTGCTTTCCCCCTCTCTCTCTGCCTGCTGCTCTGCCTACTTGTAATCTCTCTCTCTCTCTCTCTGTCAAATAAATAAAATCTTTAAAAGAAAAAAAAAAGAAAAAAGAAAGTACTCTTTTCATCATTAAGGTTGGGGCTTACTGTCTCCAGTAAGACAAATATGATGTAAAAGAAGTCCATTACAAAGAGGAAAAGTAACTCAAAAAATCTGTCCCTCTACCTCAGAGGACTGTGGTAAGAGAAAGAGGACAGAATGACCACAGGTGATGAAACATGTTTTATGGTCTTCTTTCTTTTCCTGGACTAAGATTTCAGGCTAGAAATCGTATTAGAGACCTTAAGGGAAAATCTGCAATTAGAGGAATTTTTGTTCTGTACCTTATTTGGGACTCTAGGCAGAGACCTCCTTTCTGTGTTCCCTCCATATTAACATGGGTCAGCAACCGCACATGAGTCAAGTTGATGGATGACATAAGCAGGGGGAGGAACCAAGTTTAGTGCACTACTCTCCTTAAGCTCCTGTGTGATATAGAAGGAATTTAGATGTTTCCTGAATGCCCTACTGAAATACAGGTAAAGTAGCTGACGGTGTTGTCTACAAAGTCATCATGATACAGGCTGAGTGCTGCAGAGTGGGAGATCCTGAACAAGATCATATCATTACAGAAAAATCAAAAACTAACATTGTTTTTCCAATATGACAATGCATCAGCCCTTCCACTAGTTGAGAGAATATATAAAATAACTCTATTTTGTTATCCTTGTTAGCTTAAACCAGCCTCATAAGTCATCTCCACTGAAACATAGTAACAAGGGGCTTACCCATATAACTCGTTTTCCCAACTAGGTTTGACAGGAAAGCACAGTTATGTTTCATTGCCCTGAGCTGTATTATCTCCATTCTAAATGCTCATATTTACTTAAACTTTGGCAATCCATGTGTCTGATAGCCATTTGTATGTCTTCATTGGAGAAGTGTCTGTTCATGTGTTCTATGTTTTGACATGATTATCTGTTTTGTGTGTGTTAAGTTTGAGAAGTTCTTTATAGATGCTGGATATCAGCCTTTTGTCATTTGCAGATATCTTCTCCCATTCTGTAGGTTGCCTCTTTGTTTTGTTGTCTGTTTCCTTTGCTGTGCAGAAGCTTTTGATCTTGATGAAGTCCCAAAAGTTCATTTTTGCTTTTGTTTCCTTTGCTTTTGGAAACATATCTTTTTTTTTTTTTAAGATTTTATTTATTTATTTGACAGAGAGAGATCACAAGCAGGCAGAGAGGCAGGCAGAGAGAGAGGAGGAAACAGGCTCCCTGCTGAGCAGAGAGCCCAATGCGGGGCTCAATCCCAGGACCCTGAGATCATGACCTGAGCCAAAGGCAGTGGCTTAACCCACTGAGCCACCAAGGCGCCCCTGGAAACATATCTTGAAAGAAGTTCCTGTGGTTGATATCGAAGAGGTTACTGCCTATTTCTTCTCTATGATTCTGATGGATTCCTGTCTCATGTTGAGGCCTTTTATCCATTTTGAGTTTATCTTTGTGTATGGTGTAAGAGAACGGTTGAGTTTCATTCTTCTGCATATAGCTGTCCAATTTTCCCAGCACCATTTATTGAAGAGACTGTCTTTGTTCCACTGGATATTTTTTCCTAGTTTGTCAAAGATTATTTGACCATAGACTTGAGTGTCCATATCTGGGCTCTCTACTCTGTTCCACTTGTTTATGTGTCTGTTTTTATGCCAGTACCATGCTGTCTTGGTGATCACAGCTTTGTAGTAAAGCTTGAAATCAGGCAACATTATGCCACCAGTTTTGTTTTTCTTTTTCAACATTTCCTTGTCAATTCGGGGTCTCTTCTGATTGCATACAAATTTTAGGATTATTTGCTCCAGCTCTTTGAAAAATACCAGTGGAATTTTGATCGGAATGGCATTAAAAGTATAGATTGCATCATCACTAGCCATCAGGGAGATTCAAATTAAAACCACATTGAGATACCACCTTACACCAGTTAGAATGGCCAAAATTAGCAAGACAGGAAACAACATGTATTGGAGAGGATGTGGAGAAAGGGGAGCCCTCTTACGCTGTTGGTGGGAATGTAAGTTGGTGCAGCCAATTTGGAAAACAGGGTGGATATTCCACAAGAAATTAAAAATAGAGCTTCCCTGTGCCCCTGCAATTGTGCTACTGGGTATTTACCCCAAAGATACAGATGTAGTGAAAAGCAGGGCCATCTGTACCCCAATGTTCATAACAGCAATGGCCATGGTCGCCAAACTGTGGAAAGAACAAAGATGTCCTTCAGTGGACAAATGGATAACGAAGATGTGGTCCATATACACTATGGAGTATTATGCCTCCACCAGAAATAATGAATACCCAACTTTTGTAGCAACATGGACGGGACTAGAAGAGATTATGCTGCGTGAAATAAGTCAAGCAGAGAGAGTCAATTATCATATAGTTTCACTTATTTGTGGAGCATAACAAATAACATGAAGGACATGGGGAGATGGAGAGGAGAAGGGAGTTGAGGGAAATTGGAGGGGGAAATGAACCATGAGAGACTATGGACTCTGAGAAACAATCTGAGGGTTTTGAAGGAGCAGGGGTAGCAGGTTGGGGGAGCCTGGTGGTGGGTATTATGGAGGGCATGTATTGCATGGAGCACTGGGTGTGGTGCATAAACAATGAATTCTGTTACACTGAAAAGAAATTAAATAAATTAAAAAAAAAACAAATTTGGCAATCCAGCTAAGCTATATTATTCTAAGTATAATTTTCAAATGCAGCTGTGCAGCAAATGCCCTGGGTGATATATGGAGATGATAGATAGATGATAGATGGATAGATAGATAGATAGATAGATGGGTAGATGATAGAGTTAGAAATACAGATGCAGATATAGGTACAGATATATAGATACAGAAAGATATTGCATATATATATATATGTATATATATATATACATATATATATATATATATGTATATATATATACTAGACAATATCTGATTTAAACGAAGCAAGTTCAAATGGACCATGAAGAAGATACTGTTCAATCTCTACTTACTTGACCAGGCATGACTCTGAACACAATCTCCCTATTGGTGCCATCTAGCAGTGACTGGAGCATTGGCAAACTGGGCTGTGATAGGTCTGATAGATCCTTTGTTCTTTCCTTTCCATTGGCTCATCCTCCAATTTAACTTGACAGGCCAGACTGTGCTTTAAGGATAAAAGTTACATAAGTCTACTTCTACACGGATTTGAATAAGATGAATTTAACAACTCAATAGAGCTATGTGTGTGTTTATTTTTTACAGCATTTTCTATGCCTCCATCTCTACAACCCTAGAACTGAAGATGTGCACAGACCTCTATTTATCATTAAAGACAATAGCAGTAATAAGAAACAAAGGAGGGAAATTTTTTTGTGTGTTTAAATATTTTAACTTATTGGGACAACAAACATAAAAATTGAATTTAAATTGTGCTTAGCATAATCTAAAATCACACTATAACCAGAGGAAATAGATTTTATTTAAATTCATTTTGTCAAAATACAGATATTTTTGTACAAGTTATGTTGCTCTTTTTTAAAACCTAAAAGGTAGTAGCACATGTTATAAGCATCTCTCTGGGGTTTTTTTTGTTGGTTTCACATACTACAATACGAAGCTTTTTAAAAAGAACATTGCATAAATTCTAAAATCACATGTTTACTTGAAAAGTTACTTTCATGTAGAAGTTTCTTTTTCAACATTTTATCTTAAATATTGCTATAGTAGGATAAATGGAAGTAGATATTTAAAGGTAAGATACTACCCAACTAGCTATTTTTTTTTAATTTTGTAAGTATTTTTGTACTGCATATATCCTTAACATTTTTTTCTGGATGAATATAATATTAACAGAAACAATGTATTGGTACCTAAAATATAATTATAGAATTAACCATGGACATTGAACAATTTGGTGCCTTCTCAATATTCCTGTTCTTTGAGAATTTTTTTGAAAATTTCTTTAATTTAATAATAGTTCTTTACAGAGTTCAAGGAAATGTTTGAGAGTACTACTTCCTAAATAAGCGAGGCCCTGACACTTTAAAGCTGAGGTCATAGTTTGTATCAATATGATATTTACTATTTTATTATATAGATTGTATATGAAATTACAATATTTTACTAGTAAGAAGTTTAATAAGATAATATGTTAAAAATACTGAATCTGTATGTGTGCTTTGAAAGATGGTGCTGTAAAAGAGTAAGTCTGAAAATTTCAACATACAGTGATCAGAATAAAATAAAAAATAACATAAGTTATTTTTTAGCCCTAACCCTGTAAACAGCCTTCTTGTTGGTAAATGAGGTATTATTTAGCTATTTGGGGTGTTTTTGAATAAAAGAATGATGTCTTACTGGAAATCAGACTTCATATTTTAAGCTTTAGATATTCTCTTTTATATTGTATTTCAGAAAATAGAATATATTTTGTGTTTTGAAATATAAAAAGCTTTTAACTTCTCATATTCTTAAGTTAAAAAAATACCAATGTTTTCATAGTTTTTCATATGTTGGCCACTACTGATTTCCCTTAAAATGTTTAGTAATGAGGTTAAACCTAGACTATTTGATTTCCACTTACAGTATCAGCTGCAACAACACATATATTTAACACCTATATGTAATTCATGTTGGAAAACTTGTTTTGACTTCACAAATGAGAGCAATTATAACTACATATTAAAAGAATGCAACAATGTTCATGTTTGATTACTAATCAAAGGAAAGAACACATTCCTTCTTCTCTTCCTCCTAATCCATTTCGTGAAATGTCCAGTTTCCCTCCTATTGATAAAGATAGCTTTATGGCAGCTTCACCACCACAACACATGCTCCAGCTCTTCCAATGTTGACAGGAACTTCCTAACACAGAAAAACAACAAAACAAAACAAAAACAAGGAAAGAAATACTATCTTAATGAACTCTGTCTTCAGCATAATATATATCATATATCATGTTGGAGGTAAACAAGTCTTTAGCTGTTCTGGTCCAATCTTCACCTGGTATAAAGAGGGAAAATGTAGTCCAGATAACTGTCCAGTGTGGCAGAAATAACATATTATTTAAATTAAATAGAGCTGAGTCTGAGAAGCAGGTGATTTTCATTGATAATTTCCTCACTTGAAAAACTACAGCTAATAATAAAAACTATAGCTAAAATTATCAGCTTGAAATCCTTCAAGGTTTTTATTAAGTTTAAGTGAGATAATGAATAAAGATAATTTTGCAGATAGAGTTTATATATCCATTATTTGTTAGTTCACTTTCACTCTTTTCCCAGGTCACACAATGAAACAGTAAGAAGCCAGGAATAGAATCTAGGTCTCTTAACCTATTGGTCTGCAATTTTCAGAAAACTAAATTTCACAAGCTTAGCAAACATTTTTTTTTTAAGATTTTATTCTTTTTTTTTTAAATTTCTTTTCAGTGCAACAGTATTCACTGTTTTTACACCACACCCAGTGCTCCATGCAATCCGTTCCCTCCCTAATACCCAGCACCTTGTTCCCCCAACCTCCCACCCCCCGCCCCTTTAAGACCCCCAGGTTGTTTTTCAGAGTCCATAGTCTCTCATGTTTCACCTCCCCTTCCAATTTCCCTCAACTCCCTTCTCCTCTCCATCTCCCCATGTCCTCCATGTTATTTGTTATGCTCCACAAGTAAGTGAAACCATATGATAATTGACTCTGTGCTTGACTTATTTCACTCAGCATAATCTCTTCCAGTCCTGTCCATGTTGCTACAAAAGTTGGGTATTCATCCTTTCTGATGGAGGCATAATACTCCATAGTGTATATGGACCACATCTTCCTTATCCATTCATCCATTGAAGGGCATCTTGGTTCTTTCCACAGTTTGGCGACCATGGCCATTGCTTTAGCAAACATTTTGATATTGAATTTTTGACTTAACAAATTCTTGTTAATTTATTTCCTTCCCTTCCCTTCCTAGCTGGTCCTAAGCACTGATAAAGTAAGAAGCTACCAACATAACAGAATTGGGGTGTTTCTGAGGGTCTTAATAAATCAAATTGTTGGAGGGAAGAGATAGAAAGCCATCGTCAGTTGGTATTATATTAACATATATTTATTTAGAACAGTAACCAATTTACCGTGTGGAATATAGAGCAGCATGAAGTCAGTATAAAGGTAGGTGAACTTAGAGACAAAATACAATGTTTGCCTGTTCATGGAAATTATGAGGAGTTTTATTTTATTATTTTTTAATTTATATTAAAATAATTTATATTAAAATAATAAAATATTTATATTTTATTATTTTTTAATTAAGCCTTAATTTAATTAACAGAACACCATTAAATATTTTAGAATAAATTCAGAGTTATCACTAGAAAAAAAATATCAAAAGCATCAAGTTTCCCTTTAGCATCCCCAAGAAGTCCTTTCAGGGCTTCTTCTGTTACTTTCCTTAGAATTTCTTCTGTTAGATGCCCAGCATTTTTGAGAGGGTTTAATTCCAGTGTCTCATTGTTCACTAAATTCCTTTAATGACTAATTAAGAATGAAGAGGTACATATACACTATGGAGTATTATGCCTCCATCAGAAATAATGAATACCCAACTTTTGTAGCAACATGGGCAGGACTGGAAGAGATTATGCTGAGTGAAATAAGTCAAGCAGAGAAAGTCAATTATCATATGGTTTCACTTATTTGTGAAGCATAACAAATAGCATGGAGGACAAAGGGAGATGGAGAGGAGAAGGGAGTTGAGGGAAATTGGAAGGGGAGGTGAACAATGAGAGACTATGGACTCTGAAAAACAATCTGAGGGTTTTGAAGGGGCAGGAGTGGGAGGTTGGGGGACCCAGGTGGTGGGTATTGGAGAGGGCACGGATTGCATGGAGCACTGGGTGTGGTGCAAAAAACAATGAATACTGTTACGCTGAAAATAAATTTAAAAAAATTAAAAAAAAGAATGAAGAGTGTTGTAGTTTATACAATCTCTATAAAACAGGACTTAAAAAAATTTCCTCTGGTCAACAACCAATAAGAGGGGCAGATATTTCTTAATGAGGACTTTGCACTTTGGTTCTCAAGTCATAATACATACTTAGAAAGTTGGCCAGAGTAAGGCTTTCAAATTTATTGACTTGTATTCACTTGAGTAAAGCTTTTGAATTATTGATTTAGATTCACTTTTCTATCAAATGAATGAGTCCATAAAGCCAAGAGAATGTTCTGTTCCCTTTCCCAGAAGTACTGATGAATCCTGCCAATGACAAATTAGATCAACTAACTAGTATTCTATAGTACAGAGAAAGCAAATACTGAAAATTTCACTAAAAGACAGTACCTCTTGCCATTCATCTTTCTGTGCATCATATGACTCAACAGTGTTCAAATAAGTATGTCCATCATATCCTCCAACCACATAGAGTTTATCTCCAAGGGGACATACAGCAACAGCATCTCGGGGAACATTCAGAGGTGCCACAGTTGACCATGAATCATTTTTTGGATCATACCTTAAGAAGTTTAGGATGACAATTAAAAAGGGAAGTCAAATAATATTAAAAATAATAGACATTAATAAAATGTATACTTATCCAATATAAGGAATTAAAAACACCTTATAAATATTAAAATTTAGTCTGACTAATAAATGTTAAAAATAAGTACATGACAAAATTCATTTCAACAAGACATCACTTAAAGTATATAAAAAATGTATTTCATTTCCAAAATACTGTGCATCCTTTGATTAGTACTCAGATTCTTTATGAGGAAATTTCACATATTGTCATCTTATCATTATGAGGAAAATGCCCCATCTCTCTTTTAGTATGCTGGTTGGAGAGCTTTTGTTTTTCTCTTATTCTTTATTTATCTTTTTTTTTTTTTGTGAGATGCCTTATCTTGTTCATAGGAGAGCTCACATTTCAAGTAAATTTAAATATAATTGCCTTCTTGTTTTGTAGAATGTAGTACCCTGGTTTTAGTACTATTTGTAGTTAAAATGACAGTCTTATCCTATCTTTCTCCCCATGAGTGTTCCAATTTATTTTCACATGATGATTTTTTTCCATTTTAATCTGATGTTAACTCCTTATTCCCAAACCTTTTCTGTAAGCTAAATGAAAGAGAATTCAGTCAAATTAAAATAGCATTATGTCTTTTCCTTTTAAAATTTGTTTTTCTCTCTCTCCTTACTTTGAATATAAGTATATATATTTTAGTATAAACAAAATGGAGCCTAAAGAGAATTAGCCATGGACTTATTCCTACATTTAGAGAAATTAGGAATAATTTGCTTGACTACTTTGCCTCAATTTTCTCCTCAAGATTATACAAATAATCACCAAATTAACATGTTTATGTGATGATTTTAGAAACATTTAAATTACTAACTTAAATAATTGAATGAGACTTTTAAATTTTTTATTATGTTATGTTAGTCACCATACAATACATCATTAGTTTTTGGTGTAGTGTTCCCAAATCCATTGTTTACGTATACACACTCAGTGATCCATGAAATACATGCCCTCCTTAATACCCACCACCAGGCCAACCCATCCCCCCAGCTCCATTCCTCTCAAACCCTCGGTTTGTTCCTTTGAGTCCACAGTCTCTCATGGTTTGTCCCCCCCTCCCACACACAGATTATTCTCTCCTTCATTTTCTCTTCTTTCTCCTAATGTCCTCTGTGCTATTCCTTATGTTCCACAACTAAGTGAAACTATATGATAATTGACTTTCTCTGCTTGGCTTATTTCACTTATCATAATCTCCTCCAATCCTGTCCATGTGGATGCAAAAGTTGGGCATTCATCCTTTCTGATGACTGAGTAATATTCCATTGTATATATGGACTATATCTTCTTTATCCATTCATCTGTTGAAGAACACCTCAGCTCCTTCGACAATTTGTCTATTGTGGATGTTGCTGCTATGTATATTGGGGTGCATATAGCTCTTCTTTTCACTACATCTGTATCTTTGGGGTAAATACACAGTAGTACAATTCCCAGATCTTAGGGTAGCTCTATTTTTAAATTTTGGGGGGAATCTCCACACTGTTTTTCAAAGCGGCTCCATGAGCTTGTATTCCCACCAACAGGGTAAGAGGGTTGACCTTTCTCCACATCCTCTCCAACATTTGTTGTTTCTTGCTTTGTTAATTTTTGCCATTCTAACCAGTGTAAGGTGGTATCTCAATGTGGTTTTGATTAGAATTTCCCTGATGGCTAAAGATGATGAACACTTCGTGTGTCTGTTGGCCACTTGTATATCTTCTTTGAGAAGAGTCTGCTCATGTGTTCTGTCTGTTTTTTCGGACTTGATTATTTGTTTTTTGTTTGTTTGTTTGTTTGTTTTGGGTGTCGAGAATGAGAAGTTCTTTATAAATCTTGGATATCAGCCCTTTGCCTGCAGTGCCATTTGAAAATTTCTCCCATTCCATGTGTTACCTCAGTTTTGTTGACTATTTTCTTTGTTGTGCAGAAGCTTTTTATCTTGATGAAGTCCCAAAAGTTCATTTCCACTTTTGTTTCTTTTGCCTTCAGAGCCATGTCTGGAAAGAAGTTGTTGTGGCTGATGACGAAGAGTTTACTGCTTATGTTCTTCTCTAGGATTTTGATAGATTCATGTCTGACACTGAGGTCTTTCATCCATTTTTAGTTTATCTTTGTGTATGGTGTAAGAGAATGCTCAGGTTTCATTCTTCTGTATGCAGCTTTCCAATTTTCCCAGCACCATTTTTTTTAATTTTTTAAATTTTTTTTTATTTTTTTTAAGATTTTATTTATTTATTTGACAGAGAGAGATCACAAGTAGGCAGAGAGGCAGGCAGAGAGAGAGGAAGGGAAGCAGGCTCCCCACTGAGCAGAGAGCCTGATGCGGGACTCAATCCCCGAACCCTGAGATCATGACCTGAGCCGAAGGCAGAGGCTTAACCCACTGAGCCACCCAGGCACCCCCCAGCACCATTTATTGAAGAGACTGTATTTTTATCACTGGATATTTTTTCCAGCTTCATTCAAGATTATTTGACCATAGAGTTGAGGGTCCATATCTGGGATCTCTAATCTGTTCCATTGGTCCATGTGTTTGTTTTTGTGGCAATTGTCTATTTTTGTTCCAATTTCTCTGTTTGTGTTTTTGTGCGGTCTTGGTGATAACAGCTTTGTAATAAAGCTTGAAATCAGGCAGTGTGATGCCCCCAAGCTTTGTTTTTATTTTTTCAAAATTTCCTTGGCAATTCAGGTTTTTTCTGCTTCCATACGAATTTTAGGATTGTTCCAGCACTTTGAAAAATGCTCGTGGTATTTTGATTGGGATGGTGTAGAAAGTATAGATCTCTCTGGGCAGCACAGACATTTTAATACTGTTTAGTCTTCTGATCCATGAGCATGGAATTTTTTTTCATCTTTCTGTATCTTCTATTGCTTTCATGAGTGTTCTGTAGTTCCTCAAGTATAGATCCTTTACCTCTTTGGATAGGTTTATTACAAAGTATCTTAAAGGTTTTGTGTTATTGTAAATTAAATCAATCCTCTAATTTCCCTTTCTACAGTTTCATTATTAGTGCATAAGAAAGGAAATGATTTCTGTTCATTGATTTTATATCCTGCCACATGACTGAATTGCTATATGAGTTCTAATAATTTGGAGCTAGAGCCTTTCAAGTTTTCCACATAAACTACCAAGTCATCTGCAAAAAAGAGAGTTTAACTTCTTCTTTGCCAATTTGAATGCCTTTTATTCCTCTTGGTTGTCTGATTGCTGTCGTTAGGACTTCTAGTACTATGTTGAACAACAGTGGCAAGAGTGGGCATCCTTGTCATGTTCCTGATCTCAAAGGAAAGGCTGTCAGCTTTTCCCCATTGAACATGATATTCACTGCGGGTTTTTCTTAGATGGATTTTATGAAGTCAAGGAATGTTCCCTCTATGCCTATACTCTGAAGGGTTTCAATCAGGAACTATGCTTTATTTTGTCAGATGCTTTTTTCCACGTCAATTGAGAGGACCATGTGGTTCTTCTCTCTTCTCTTATTGATTTGTTCTATCACATTGGTTGATTTGTGAATGTTGAACCACCCTTCCACCCCAGGCATACATCCCATGTGTTCATGGTGGATAATCTTTTAATGTACTGTTGGATCCTATTAGCTAGGATCTTATTGAGAATCTTGACATCCATATTCATCAGGGATATTGGTCGGAAATTCTTCTTTTCGGTGGGGTCTTTGCCTGGTTTGGGGATCAAGGTTAATGCTGGCTTCATAGAAATAATCTGGAAGTTTTCCTTCTGCTTCAATTTTTTGAAACAGCTTCAGGAGAATAGGTGTTATTTCTTCTTTGAATGTTTAGTAGAATTTCCCAGGGAATCCATCCAGTCTGGGACTCTTGTTTTTTGGGAAGTTTTTGATCACTGCTTCAATCTTGTTACTGGTTATTGGTCTGTAAATGTTGTCAATTTCTTCCTGTTTTAGTCTTGAAAGTTTATAGGTTTCCAGGAATGCATCCATTTCTTCTAGGTTTCTTAACTTTTTGGCATAGAGCTCTTGATAATAATTTATGATAGGGTCAGAAGATAGAGAGATAGAGTCACTATCTTTCCCCTTTCATTCATAATTTTATTAATTTGGGTCCCTTCTCTTCTTTTGGATGAGTCTGGTCAGATGTTTAACAACCTTATTAATTCTTTCTAGGGGCCAATTTCTAATTTCATTGATATGTTCCACTGTATATCTGGTTTCTAACTCATTGATCTGCTCTAACCTTAATTATTGCTCTTCTTGTGTGTGGGGCAGGCTCAATTTTTTTTTGATTCTCAAGTTCTTTAAGGTGTAAAGAGAGTTTGTGTAGTCAGGATGTTTCTATTTGTTTGAGTGAGGCTTGGATGGCTATGCATTTCCCTCTTAGGACAGCCTTTGACCTATCCCATAGGTTTTGGACCAATGTTTCATCATTATCAGTGGTTTCCATGAATTGTTTAAGTTCTTCTTTGATTTCCTGGTTGATCCAAACATTCTTGAGCAGGATAATCTTTAGCTTCCAAGTGTTTGAATTTCTTCCAACTTTTTCTTGTGATTGAGTTCCAGCTCCAAAGCATTGTGGTCTGAGAATATGTAGAGAATGATATCAATCTTTTGGTACCAGTTGAGACCTGATTTGTGACCCAGTATGTGGTCTATTCTGGAGAAGGTTCCATGTGTCCTTGAGAATAATGAGTACTCTGTTATTTTATGGTGGAATGCTCTGTATATATGTATGAGGTCCATCTGGTCCAATGTGTTATTCAAAGCTCTTGTTTCTTTGTTTATTTCGGCTTAGATGATCTGTCTATTGCTGAGAGTGGTAATGCAGAAAAAAAATTTGACAAAATAAGGCATCGTTTTCTGATTAAAACTCTTCAGAGTATAGGGATAGAGGACCATAAAATCCATCTATGAAAAATCCACAGTGAATATCATTTTCAATGGGGAAAAGCTGACAGCCTTCCCTTTGAGATAAGAAAC